GTGATAATGTCCTAGGAGATCCACCAGCAGTATCACTACCACTACTGCAAAAGCCTGTCTGACATGGAGATCCACCAGCAGTGCTACTGTCAGCATAGCCTCTCATCTCACAGCAGCAACCAATCATGAAGACAGTACCATGGTTGGAATGGCATCACAGCTAATTTTAGCCAGTCAATTCTAGCAGCACCATAGCTAACTCCAGAGGCATCATAGCTAACTCTAGCCACAGCTAAGTCTAGCAGCACCACAGCTAACTCTAGCCATAACCAGTTCTAGCTGTACAATTGCTAACTCTGTGTGATATGCTGTCAAGAATTTTCTTTTATAAAGTGATGCTTGAAGATAGTAATTAAACATATAGGTAAAGAACTGGCCAACTTTTAACTTTAAGACTTGCACACAAAACTCTAATTCCCAGGATGCTCCAACTTGAGATGGGCAAGCCCTCCAGGTGTTGTTGGGCTGCAATTCCCATCAATCCTAGCCAACATAACCAGTGGTAAGGAATGAAAGGAGCTGTACTCCAACAAACTCTAGAGGGCCACAAACCGTCCACTTCTGCCATCTAAAAGGGCACGGACATAGAACTAGTTGGAATCTGTGGCAATCTTAGAACAAAAGAGAAAGAATTCAATGCTTATGGTTACAAAGGAAGGAAGGCCCTCTTAGTTCTGAGCCAAGCCAGAAGGGATTTCAATGAGGTGCTTGGAGATGTAGAATTGTGTGTTGTGTCTCTAAGGTAGGGTTATCATATGCCCTCTTTTTCCAAAACATGTCCTCTTCTTCAGAGTTAAAATTTCTGCCTGGGTGGATTTTTAAAATGTCCACTGCTGCTTCACCTCCTGCCCACCGATGCTGCCAGAGTTATAACAGTGATCAGTGTTTTGAAGCAGACAGTCGGTAAATATCCCCTCTTTTCTTTTTTTGCTTTCCACAATATGCTAAACCTAAACCTAAGAGGGAAATAAAAAGAAAGAATACTAACCCCAGCTTTGCAGCAACTGCTGCTGGTGTACTTCTTAGCTCCAACAGCCCAGAGGTGTCTTCATTGAAGAAATCATCAGGCAAATTAGTTTCAGTCTGAAAGCAGGAAAATAATATTAAGCTCACAGCACTATCATGAAAATCAGCAGAAGAGGAAGTGTTTGTCGTTTCTCATTACTGCTAATGCCACTCTTATTTATGCTGTTTCAGGCCATAACTATACCAAAATCTTTAACTGGTTAAGCTGACACTTGTTATTCCCATATACTCTGGGCATTGTTGTGTGAGATATTGAGTGGAGAAAGGGCAGGAGTAAGGATTGCATGGAGAGAGGTGTTATCACCAAAATAGGAATGGTTGTCTTTTGAATGATCTGAAGGGCCAAAGTTCCCTCCCTCCTGGGTTAGGGATTTTAACATGACTGACTCAGCCATTACAGTGAGGCAGTGTCATGAAAAGGCAAAAAGTTATTTGGTTAATCACCACTGTATTTTTATGACCTGGATGTCTGAGATATACTAATGGAGATTTTGTATCTCAGGTGCCAAAATAACTCGACTGGCTTCACATATTACAGACCTTCACCTGGACTGGAGGATGCAATATACTGAAGAATGTAGACAGAGCAGGTCCACCCTTCCTTCCTTGCGTATGTTTCTAATCCAAATCATCCTTTTTGGGGTAAGTAGCCATTCTTCTTGTTGCTATTGTGTGCTTTCAAGTTCTTTCTGACATATGGCGATCCTAAGGTAACCCTATCATGTGGTTTTCTTGGCAAGTTTCTTCAGAAGGGGTTTGCTTTGCCAATATTTGCTATTGTCGGTATGTGACTTGCCCTATGTTACCTAATGGGTTTCCATGGCCAAGCCAGATTTGAATCCTGGTCTCCAGAGTCACAGTCCAATGTTCAAACCACTACACCATGCTGGCTCTATAAGTAGCCACAGAAGGAAAAAGCTCTCACTGCTGCCCAACTAGAGATTTCTTTAAGACCTATGAGAGGGGACTTGGAAAGAGATGGTAAAAGGAGCCTGTATGACATAGTGATTTGAATGTTGGACTACAACTCTGAAGACCAGGGTTTGAGTCCCAGCTTGGCCATGAAACCACTGGGTGACCTTGAGTAAGTCACATGCTCACAGCCTCAGGTGAAGGCAATGGCAAACTCCTCTGAACAAATATTGCCAAGAAAACTCCATGATACGTTTCCTTTAGGGTCACCATAAGTGAGAAATGACTTGAAGGTATATAACAAAAAACTCAAATGCAGCAATCCTGAAAAAAACATATATGCCTAGTACTCAAATTTTTAAAGCCCCAAAGTAGTTGCTAGTATCACAGTTCAATTAACAGAGTTTCTGCAAGCAAATTTTGAGTACCAGCATGAAGAGCCAAATGAGTGTGGTAGCTAATTGGCAACAGGAGGGAGGGATAAGCACCATAGATCCCAGAAAAAGAGGGATAAGTGCTGCTAACAGGTTTTACAGGCCCCAGAATATGTGTGGTGTAAAGGTGTTGTTGTTGTTTTTGAGCATTGGACTAACTCAGGAGACTTGGGTCTGAATCCTCGCTTGGCCATGAAAACCCACTAGATGACCATGGGTGAATCACACTCTCTCAGACCTAGAAATCCCAATGATAGGTTCACCTTAGGGTCACCATGTCAGAAATAACTTGAATGCACACAACAACAGATTCAGGCCCCTTTATTACATGTTTGTATCCTCTTGAGGGAATTATGCTGGGCCACTGATCACATACAGATTAGTATCCTGTTGTGTCTCTCCAAGTCATTTTTGACTTATAGTGAACCTAAAGTTTTCTTGGCAAGTTTCTTCAGAAGGGGATTGCTATTGCCATCCTCTGAGGTTGAGAGAGTGTGACTCACCCAAGGTTACACAGTGAGTCTTTATGCTTGAGCAGAGATATGAGCCCTGGTCTCCAGAATCATAATCCAATGCTCAAACCACTACACCAGGGCTGGCAACCTACGGCCCGTGCGCCGGTTCCGGCCCAGGCCCCCGCGCTTACCGGACCAGGCGGACCCCTGCTGCTGCCGCCGCTGCCACCTGCCACCACCGCTGCGCGTTTTGGTCGCGACATGTGTGGGGGTGGCTGCGGCAGCACACGCAGCAGCGGCAGTGGCAGTGGCGGCAACGCCGGCATTCCCCCCCCCTCGGCCCGCTGGAAGGGACGACTTTGGGGGACCGGCCCCCGGCTCAAAAAGGTTGCCTACCCCTGCACTACACCATGCTGGCCCTCAAATTTTTTCACAAGTGTATGAAGAGATATCCTATGCAACAGTTCTTCCAGGCTGCGTAACTGGTGGGAGATGGCACTGGGGTGCAGCTCCACACGTGACTTAAAATGGACACTAACTGTCTGAAGAGATATGCTGGGAGAGCTCATTTCCTTATGCCATCACTTGGCTACCATTACCATTCCTCTTTGGCACCCAGACTTCCATGTAAATGTGTTGGCAGAACTTTATGTTCTACCAGCTTCAATAAGAATCTTGGCCATAATTTGAACATGGGCTGTATCATATTCACCAAGTCCATACATCACCTCAAAAAAGTCCTGAGTTTTCTTCAGAAGATGCTTTAGTTCAGTGAGTTCTAGAAAGTTCTGCCTCAATGCCTGCAGGTTCTGGTTGGCCTCTTGCAGCTCCCCTTCCAGCTTCTCCAAAATTGCCTATTTATAGGCAGAGAAAAAGACAAAGGCAGATCCAATTATTCCTTCACGCGCCTTGCTGCTGACAAAACAGATTACTACAAAGATGGATTATTATGTGGTAAACCTTTCAAAATATGTCTCTCAGCAGGTTAGGCTATCTTGCAGCAAATATTAAAATCTGCTTCTGAGCATGAATGATTCATGAACAACTCAAATTATGTACAAACACTAAAATAAGAGAAAACACAACAAATCATCAGTTAGCAGTAAATGAAATGATGAATGACAACATTGAGTTGCTAACAACTTTTGTAGCAATTGCTTTTTTTAGGATACAAAGCACTCCTATATTTCTTAACTCTTGGAGCTGTAGTAGTCAACACATTTACTAGGACAGGGGAAACTCCAGGGATGCATACAGCTCCAAGACTGTTTTTGTAGCCCTTGGTCCTTCCAGACTTTCTGGACTACCTTTCTTCTGGCCAAACAGAAAGGATGACACCTCTGCTGGAATTCATATTCTAGAATTTAAGCAGGCTGTAGAGAAAGCTGGTCAATGTTTTCCTCCCACTCTCATATCAGAATTTAGTCAAGACATATGCTCACTTAAGAAAGAACATGCAGCAATTTATCTTGTCTTTCCTTAAAGCAGTGTGACCTTCACTATTTTTCAAGAGGGAGCCACTTTGGCTGCATTATGTGGAATCTTCTCCTCTCCCAAACTTCACCATGAGTCAACTGGGAAAACTGGAATTGACTGGAGACCTTTTGAGGGCTTCTTCTCCACTTCCACATCATCCAGGCAAGGCTTCCATCCCCCTCCAACTGTCTCCATTCAGCAGGGATAGTCCCAATTAACTCTATGTCATCCGAAGGCCTCCAGACAGCCACAAGTTTAAGCAACAGTTTCTGCTGTTTCTCCTTAGACCATCACAAATACCTTACCTCTAGGTCAATCATTTCTCTTGGTAGTGGAGTCTCAGGATATTTCCCAGGCTTATGAAACAGTATCTCATCTCCCATCTCGATTTCTAGGAAGCCTGTGAGCAAACCAAGCAGAAGATCCAAGCCAACTAATTTTTGCAGTAATATAGAAAGAAAGAAAAAATGGTGATGGAGGATCTACATAATTTCAACCTAGATAATGAGGAAATTGAAATACTTAAAGAATTTCTCAATCTTGCATCAAACATTGATCAGAAAGGAGACTGCAGTCAAGAAATGATAAGAAGATTAGGAATGGGAAGGGCAGCGATGAAAGAACTAGAAAAGATTCCAAAGTGTAAAGATATACATCTGAGCATGAAAGTTAGAATCATCCAAGACATTGTATTCCTCATCTTCACATAGGGATGTGAAAGCTGGACAGTGAAGAAAGTGGATAAAAAGATTTTTTTTTTAAATGTGGTACTGGAGAAAGTGCTGAGGATACTGAGGCCAACCAAAAAGATAAACAAATGGGCCCCAGAATAGAACAAGTCTGAACTTTCCTTGAAAGCCAAGATGACGAAATTGAGGCTGTTGTGCTTTGGCCACATCCTAAGAAGGCATGATTAATTAGAAAAGACAATAATGCTAGGAAGGTAAAAGGTAGTAGGAGAGGAAGATTGTATGGCAGATGAATAGACTTGTCACAGGCCTGAATTTGCAGGACCTGAGCAGAACAGCAGAGGACAGGCACTCTTGGAGATATCTCATCCACAGGGTTACCATGAGTCGGGGTTGACTTGAGAACAGTCAACAACATAAATGGTAAAATACTGATAGTAAGGAAGCCCTCTCTTTTTTGGTATTAGTCTGCCCACTAGCGAACAGTTCTGTATTCCACTAACTGGGACTAATATTCCACCAGGCTCATATTTAATAAAACAAAATGGGGGGAAATTGTGGAATTACGTAAAGCCACACCTATCTGCAGAAACCTGTGGTGTGATTTATGCAAGGGAAAAAAAAAACTTGGGACTTTGACAAGCTGGATAGGTAAGATTAGTGTAGTGAGCTGGGTCTCGACCATCAGGTAGATGGGGTTTGGATTTTTTGTTAGCATCATGGCCAAACATTAACAGCTGCCCAGGGGCATGAAAGGGTTAGTTTGTGTTAGTGCATTCATTAGATGTATTTCAGGTCAAGAAAACTTATTCTGTACCAGTAAGGTGTGTCAGTGTTCAACATTGCAAGAATTCTTGAGGAAGCCTTGAAATAAACCAAATTCCAGTACAAGACAGTTGGTAAGAGGTTCTCAGTTATTTAGGTTTGTTGCTGTTGTTGTTATGTGCCTTCAAAGTCATTTCTGACTTATGACAACCCCTCTGAATGCATACCATCCCAGCTTCCATTCTTGATGTCTCCAGCTAAAAAGACATCAGGTAAAAGATTATATATAACAGTAATTCTCAACCTTCGGTCCTTGACATTTGAGACCAACTTCCAGAATTCCTGTACAATGAACATACTGGCTGGATCTTCTGAGAATTAAAGTCCAAAACATCTGGAGGACCAAAGGCTGAGAACCATTGATCTAGAAGACCTCTACCTGACACTATGGAGAACTACTGACTATCGCAAGAGACAGTACAGGGAACTGCATGGACCAAGAGTTTGAGTTGGTGTAAGGCAATTTCCGATGGGTGCGGCATAAGAACTGCCCGAGTCTATGGCTCTACCAGATTACATGATTATAGCACTTTGATATCACTTTAACTGCCATGCATCCCATGGAATCCTAAGATTTGTAATTTGGTGTGATATGACAGACATTAACATCCTCTGAAGCTGAGGGAGTGTGACTTGTCCAAGGTTATCCAGTGGTTTTCATGGCTCAGTCGGGATTCAAACCCTGTTCTCCAGAGACATAGTCCATCGTTCGAATCACTACACCATGCTGTCTCTAGTTATTTAGGTAGTTAATATTAATTTTTAAAAAATTTGCTAGGCTGCTGGATTAGTTACATTGGTGCTAGAACAGGCTGCGGTTGTCTCACCTGTTTCCCTCCTGTTTGCACTGTATATATCTATATATGGGTGTATGTTTGTTCTAGACTATACAAGCTTGGTATAGTGGTTTGAGCATTGGACTCAAACCCTGGAGACCAGGGTTCAAATCTCTGCTTGGCCACAGAAACCCACTGGGTGACCTTGAGCAAGTCACACTCTCTCAGCCTCCAAAGAAGGCAAAGGCAAACCCGCTCTGCACAAATCTTGCCAAGAAAACCCAATGATAGGTTTGCCTGATGGTTGTCATAAGTGGGAAACAA